ACATCATAGCTTAGCTTAGCCTAAGTTAAATGTGTGCAGAACACCATATCCAAAAGACACTGGCAACACAGCAGTGTAGACTATCCGTTGTTTGTCTTTGTGATCATGTGCCTGAGGGGTTACTGTGGCTCTCTATCACTGCCCAGCATCCATCATGAGAAGTATCATACCACATATCATTAGTCTGGGCAAAGATCGAAATTCAAAATTCTAAGCACGGTTTCTACTGATGCATTTATATCACTCTCACACCATCATAAAGCTGAGAAATCGTAAGTTGGGAACTGTCTGTATTTATTATACATTGTTTTAACAAGCACGTATTGAGCCTTTATTTAATTTTAGATCATTATCAATCATCAATTCATTTATTATGCCTTCTAAAAGCTTTTCAAGTAAACATTTACTAAATACCAGCTTTATACCAAGAATTCTGTTAGGCACTAGGAATACAATGACGTTTAAGATATTGATTCTGCCACCAGTAACTCACACTATATTGCAGAAGGCAAGATGTGTTTGAAAAACACAAGATAATAAAATAAATGCAATAATAAAGTAAACCACAGGTGCCACATGAATATAAACCTTCTGAATCATATATATATTTAAAATAAAAAATGGAAGGGTGCAAAATATTTGTACCACATGCAGTTTTAAATATTCTAAACTAATGCATACATGGAGGGTCCAAAATCTAGTTAATTATATCAGAAAGGTAAAGTATGAGTCATATAAAAGTAAAATCTGAGTCATGTAAAACATTGATTTCTTCTCTGGAAGTAGGGCAGGCTGTTGCTATGCTGTGCTGTGCTGCTGCTGGCTGTAATTGTGACTCAGGGGGATTCTGAGTTAAGTTGAAAGTTGTCTTCTTCACTCTGTCAGTTGAGTTGGGCCAAAAGGAAGCAAGCAGAATTCTTAGCATTTGGAATTCCTTCATAACTCAGGTCTGACCCAATCAGGTCAGTCTTCATATGCCGTTCAACTTATTTCTTTGAGCAGACATATCTTTGTGTACCCTGGAGTGAATTCTAGAAACCAGGTCATTTTTTTATGGCTTCCTACTTGTATTCTGCTAAACTTTCAAGTTGATATGATGTGGCACAAATTTGCTAAACTCTCCAGGCCTGAAATATATACAATTACTCTACATTTTAGAGATGGTAAAAAATTGAGCTGGAAAAAACATTCAAGTAAACAAATATTCAGTGATTCAGCTTTCTACAAAGAAAAATATTCCAATCTAATATTTAAAAATCTTAATGTAAGTATAGGCACATATTATATGGTGGGTCCACAGGGAAAAACATTTTGATATAAAAATAGACCCATCATTGACAAGTCAGGCAAATAGGACTAGCCAAGAGCAAATAAATACATGATTTCAAATTAAAACATTGTTAAAATGTTAAATTAATTTTAAAATAAAATACATTTATAGGAAAGTCAAAATTCTGAAGAGGCATATTAATTTTTGAAATATATTTGCTGTTTCAATGTTTTATTTTATTTTAGATAAATAAGTAGATAAATCAAAGAGAGGAAATTCTGAATATTTAGGTTAGAAAGTTTAGAGTTAACCTATGTAAAAAATGTGAACTGAAGATAGAATCATGAAACTAACTACTTTTCTCCAAGAAAATGGCCACAAACAACTGCCATTTACCTTCGAAATGAGATCCACATTTTCAGTGGGCACTTTGGTTGAGAATTTCTAAACAGCAATATTTAATTTCATTTTTCTTACCTTTTTCTCTCTTTCATCTTAAAAAAAATACATTAGAATTAAATATTAAAATTATATTCAGTGTCTCATATTTTAATCATAGAGGCAAAGGGAAACAGACTTTCCACTGAACATAAATATTTTCCTGGAAACTCAGGATAGTGCAAATTATGATGTATAGCTACATCTCCTTTGAGGCACTATAGGCCGTAAGTATAAAGGAAACCACAATTTCTTAGGAAATATTAAATTTCCTAAGTATTTTCATGAGTAATTTATAAATAAGATAGGGACTATTTTGTTCATCCTTAACTAAAAGAAAAAGCAAGACAAATGCCTGAAGCATGAGCAGAAGAGAGAAATGAGATTAGAAAACCCTGACTTCTGATGGGGAAATATAACAATACATAACAAACACCTATTATGTCACTGGCATGGTTCTAGATCTGTGGTTCTCAACCTTGGCTGCACATTAGAATCACCTGGGAATCTTTTTAAAATCCTGATTTCTGGGCCTCATCCTTCACCTGGGAATCTTTTTTAAATCCATTCCAAAATCCTTTGGAATGAGGCCCAGAAGTCAGGATTTTAAAAAGATTCCCAGGTGATTCTAATGTGCAGCCAAGGTTGAGAACCACTGTTCTAGATGCTGAGAATAGCCAAATACTAGGAAGACTCAGCTTTTGGTCTTAAGGAGCTACTGAGGGAGACCAACATGTCAATATACATGATTCATACTTTACTTTTATATGACTCATACTTTACCTTTCTCTAGAAGAAATTTAGTATCCTATCTAATAAAAGAGAAACATGGTAATTAGCCGTACATCCCCTACCCTTCCCATTGGCTAATCAGGGCAATATGCAAATTAACTGCCAGCCAAGATGGCGGCCGGCAGCCAGGCAGCTTAAAGCGAA